TTTAATTGATGCATTTATTATTATTTCAACAAATCAAAAGCTTAAAAATTATATAATATCATACTTTAAATGAATTAATATAGTTATATTATTTAACCGGTATTACGTGTAATATTACGGTAATAAAAATCTATTAATTTATATATCAAAATCAATGAAATCAACTGCCTAGGCAAAAAAACAAAAAATTCGATTGAACTCGGTTTAGGCTGATTTCGAGTTTCAAGTGGAAATTTGGGTTGATTGGATTGAGATTTTTGGGTTTATTTGAGTAAAAAAGTTTAGCTTAAATTTAGGGATTTTGTTGAGTAAAAAATAATCGAGCCTTACTTTTATTTTATAAAAGCCTAAAATGGGTTTTGACTAAATTTCAAAATTAAAAGTGTTTTAGCGAAAAGCAAAACTTGAGACAAAAAATATCAACGAAAGTAATAATAACAACGACAACAATAATAATATAATAATAACAATAATAATTTTTACTTTAAAAAGTTTGAAAATAATAATATTAAATCAGACAAATTAAAATAATATATTTAATAATTAAGGATTAAAGAAATTTCATAGCGACGAAATATTAAATTAAAATTTTTACGATTATGAATCTCTAATGTTTAGATTTATTAGAATAAACATAAATCGATGTTTCATTATAATAAATTCAGATAATATATATTTTATTTAACATTAATGATTATTTATAGTATAAGTCAAATTATTAAATGATTAAGGATTATAAATAAATTTTTTAAAAGTGGAGAGGTAATAAATTAATTTTAATTACTGTTTTAATATTTACCGTTAGATTTATAAAATAAATTAGATTATTATATTATTTTAATAAATAGACGGTCAAAATTTAAACTGTCAACTAAAACACAAATTAGCTAACTTAATTTGTTGATATAATCTCTCTATATTGTCTACTGGATACATCCCCCTTTTCCTTGATTTGGTTTTAATAAATAGACGGTCAAGATTTAATTTTTTTATCAAATTATCAATGAGAACACAAGTTAGCCGACTTAATTTGTCTATATAATCTCTCCATATTGCCTAGTGAATACATCTCCCCTTTTTGCTTGATTTGATCTTAAAGTTCGTGATTTTTTAAAAAATTCTACCAATCTTTCTCTGCTTCAATTACAACAATTAGATCTTGTTTTGCCATGGATCGAAGAGAAGTTGATTGTTTGCCTGAAGATAATTACATTGTTGATACAGATCAGTATAACGATGACATCTACGATTTTGCAGATACTGGTGATATCGAAGAAGATCAATCAAATGATCGAACGAAATTTACAATATTTACTGAGATCAATGTACTTCAACAAGTGAAGATCGATATCGAAGAAGTATCAATCGTGCTATCAATACCCAAATCGCAGGCATGTATTTTACTCCTCAATCATAACTGGAATACTGACGAAGTATATGATAAATGGTTTTCTAATGAACGTGAAGTTCGTGAAAGGGTTGGTTTGCGAACTGAGAATTTATCTAAAGTTTTAGCTTTTGGTGGTGTTTTTACTTGTGGGATCTGTTTTGAATCCTATAATCATGATAAGATTCGATCAGCTTCTTGTGGTCATGGCTTTTGTCAAGATTGTTGGGCTAGTTACATAAACACGGCCATTAATAATGGTTATGGTTGTTTGAATTTGAGGTGTCCGGAGCCATCTTGCAACACAACTGTCTACCCGAGCAAGGTTTTGGGGTTCGCCACTAAGGTACAAAAAGAAAAATATCTACATTATCTTATTCAATTTTATGTAGAAAAAAAGAGTAAAACTATAAAGTGGTGTCCTGCTATAGACTGCAAACTTGCAATTGGTCTAGTTATGGTAGGGGATAACGGAATTCATGATGTATCATGTGAATGTTACCATAAAGTTTGTTGGCATTGTGGTCATGAGGCTCACCGTCCTGTAGACTGTGACACAATGAAGCGATGGATGGTGAAAAATAAGTCAGATGAGGGTAACATGAAGTGGATACAAGCTTTCACAAAACCTTGCCCCAAATGTTTGAGGCCGATCCAGAAGAACGAGGGTTGTATGCACATGACTTGTAAACCTCCTTGTAACTTTGAGTTTTGTTGGTTGTGCCTGACTCCTTGGGAAATTCATACAGAATGCATTAGGCGTGATAAAATAAAGGAGAGAGAGAAAGAGAACCTGAGGGAGTCTCTGAGGAGATATGAACATTATTCCGAGGATTGGCTAAACAACATGAAGTTTATGAGAAAAGCACAAGATGATTTAGAATCAACTAAAAGAGAAGATATTCCAATATTGTGCAACAAGCAACATTTGCCAAAGGAAAGACTCAACTTTTTGGTAGAGGCGTGGCAACAGATTGTGGAGGGCAAGAGGGTGTTGTCATGGACATATGTTTACGGATATTACTTGTCTTGCAATAAGGATGAGGCACCAAAAAAGGAGTTGTTCAAGTTTTTACAATTGCAAGCCGAGCATATTGTGGAGAAGCTGCATGAATGTGTCAAAAAAGAAATAACAACCTTTCTTAATGATTGCAAGAAAAAGTCAACCCGATCAAGTAAAAATTTTGACCAATTTAGTGAAAAGTTAGTGAATCTTACTATTGTGACTAAAACCTACTTTGAAAATCTAATAACCGCACTAGAGAATGGACTCTCAGATGTAATCATTCCACCTCGTCGTGCCGCCAAAAAACGCAGATTAAAGTAGGATTACATGTGGATATTCAATCATTGTATTATGATTTGAAGAATATAGAACTTTTTTCTATTGATTTATAATGTTTAAGCAAATATGTAATTCTCTGATTAAATTTCATGTTAAAGTGGTGGATTTTTATGTGACAATGGTGCATTTCCAGTTTTAATACTATATAGTTTGTTCTTTTATCGTTAGATATGTACTTTTTTTATTTTGTCTATCGTAAATAGTTATTTTTTTTTTTGTAATACCTTGATTTATAGTTACATATAACGCCGTTTCTTTTTTTTTTTTTTTTTTTACATATTGGATTGTGATAGACTACACAATTAGATGTGACAGATTCAATTGTGTGGCATTTGAGATGATCATGTAGTTTATGATCTCTAAATACAAGAGATACAGAGGATGTGGGAAAAAACAAGTATATATAAACCTTGAGACTGAAGAGTCCGAACAAAGTTTGAATTTGGAAGCCATGGAAGTTTCTGTTTCATGTTTCTGGATCCCACAAACATGACATGGATACCCACCCCAAGTATGAGCGTGGCTGTTCCTACCAAGAACATGTCTGCACATTAACTTGAAAAAATAATGTGCAGAGATATGCTTGTATAGACAGGCCCGGATAGAAGAGAGAGAGACAGAAAGATACCCATGGCTTCTATGAGTCGGTGCATTATTTCCCCTTCGTCCCACCTTTGTGATAAAATTTGGAGATACTTAAAATATGTCTCTAAAACAAGAAAGCAACCCTGTAATTCTAGCTTTATGTTCAGATTAAATTGTATTAAATTTAGTGAATATATATATATATATGTAACATGTATAGCATAATGTAATATTTATATAGAATATAAAATATATGTTATATATATTATATATCATAAAAATATTATATGCAGTATAATATATAAAAATACATGTAATTTATATAACATAATGTAAATAATCTGTAAAGAGTTACAAAAGAAAATTTTGAGTTAATTTGTTGGCCATTGAATTATTTATTGAAGTGAATGAAATTATTCAATCCGTCCGACTAAACAGAAATTTATCAAAAGCAAAAGTTACATGACAAGACATATACTTTAATGGGCCGGACTCATGGGGTTTCTGGGCCAGATAAAATGGCTCTTGAGCCCATTTAGACAAAAATTTTAATTTATTAATTTCTTTTTAAAAAAAGAAAAAGTAAGATATTCTTATAATAATAATAATAATAATACAAATTCAAACAATAACAATTATAATTTTAAATTTTTAAACAATTGAAAATAATAAAATTATGGCTGACAGTTTAAAATATTATATTTAATAAGTAAGGATTAGACAAATTTTGTAGCAAAGAAATATTAAATTGGATTTTTCATTATTATGAATCTTTAATGTTTAGATTTATTATAATAAACATAAAATAATAAATTGAGAGAAAATAACTTATATATTTTATATAACATTGATAATTGTTATCCTTAAAAGATTATAACGGATACTCAAATATACCTCATTTAACATTAATGGCTACTTATAGTATAAGTCAAATTACTTGATGATTAAGGATTATGTATAAATTTTTTAAAGTGGTGAGATAATAAATTAATTTTAATCACTCTTTTAATATTTACAGTTAGATTTATCAAAATAAATTAAATTATTATATTATTTTAATAAACAAACGGTCAAAATTTAATTTTTTTTATCGAACTATCAACTAAAACACAAATTAGCTAACTTAATTTGTTAATATAATCTCTCAATATTGCCTGCCGGATACATCCCTCTTTTTTTTTTTATTTGGTTTTAATAAATAGAGGATCAAGATTTAATCTTCTTTATCAAATTATCAACTAGAACATAAGTTAACTGACTTAATTTGTCTATATAATCTCTCCATATTGCCTAGCGAATACATCTCCCCTTTTTCCTTGATTTGGTCTTAAAGTTTGTGATTTTTTTTTTTAAATTCTACCAATCTTTCTCTACTTCAATTATAACAATTAGATCTCGTTTTGCCATGGATCGAAGAGAAGTTGATTGTTCCCCTGAAGATAATAACATTGTTGATACCGATCAATACAACGATGACATCTACGATTTTGCAGATATTGGTGATAACGAAGAAGATCAATCAAATGATCGAACGAAATTTACAATATTTACTGAGATTCATATACTTCAGCAAGTGAAAATCGATATCGAAGAAATATCAATCGTGCTGTCAATACCCAAATCGCAGGCATGTATTTTACTCCTCAATCATAACTGGAATACTGACGAAGTATATGATAAATGGTTTTCTAATGAACGTGAAGTTCGTGAAAGGGTTGGTTTGCGAACTGAGAATTTATCTAAAGTTTTAGCTTTTGGTGGTGTTTTTACTTGTGGGATCTGTTTTGAATCCTATAGTCATGATAAGATTCGATCAGCTTCTTGTGGTCATGGCTTTTGTCAAGATTGTTGGGCTGGTTACATAAACACAGCCATTAATAATGGTTGTGGTTGTTTGAATTTGAGGTGTCCGGAGCCATCTTGCAACACAACTGTCTACCCGAGCAAGGTTTTGGGGTTCGCCACTAAGGTACAAAAAGAAAAATATCTAGATTATCTTATTCAATTCTATGTAGAAAAAAAGAGTAAAACTATAAAGTGGTGTCCTGCTCCAGACTGCAAACTTGCAATTGGTCTAGTTATGGTAGGAGATAACGGGATTCATGATATATCATGTGAATGTTACCATAAATTTTGCTGGCATTGTGGTTATGAGGCTCACCGTCCTGTAGACTGTGACACAATGAAGCGATGGATGGTGAAAAATAAGTCAGATAAAGGTAACATGAAGTGGATACAAGCTTTCACAAAACCTTGCCCCAAATGTTTGAGGCCGATCCAGAAGAACGAGGGTTGTATGCACATGACTTGTAAACCTCCTTGTAACTTTGAGTTTTGTTGGTTGTGCCTGAATCCTTGGAAAATTCATACAGAATGCATTAGGTGTGATAAAATAAAAGAGAGAGAAAAAGAGAACCTGAGGGAGTCTCTGAAGAGATATGAATATTATTCCGAGAATTGGCTAAACAACATGAAGTTTATGAGAAAAGCACAAGATAAATTAGAATCAACTAAAAGAGAAGATATTCCAATACTGTGCAACAAGCAACATTTGCCGAAAGAAAAACTCAACTTTTTAGTAGAGGCGTGGCAACAGATTGTGGAGGGCAAGAGAGTGTTGTCATGGACATATGTTTATGGATATTACCTGTCTTGCAATAAGGGTGAGGCACCAAAAAAGGAGTTGTTCAAGTTTTTACAATTGCAAGCCGAGCATATTGTGGAGAAGCTGCATAAATATGTAGAAAGAGAAATAACAATCTTTCTTGATGATTACAAGAGGAAGTCAACCCGATCAAGTAAACATTTTGACAAATTCAGTAATGAGCTAGTGAATCTTACTTTTGTGACTAAGATCTACTTTAAAAATCTAATAACAGCATTAGAAAATGGACTTTCAGATGTAACCATTCCAGCTAATCGTGCCAACAAGAAACGCAGATTAAAGTAAGATTATATGTGGATATTCAATCGTTGTATTATGATTTGAGAGATACAGAACTCTTTTCTATTGATTTATAACTTTTAAGCAAATATGTAATGCTCCAGTCAAATTTTATGCTAAAATGATAGTTTTTTATGTGACAATTGTACATTTTCAGTTTTAGTACTATATAGTTCGTTTTTTTATCAGCAAATATGTACTTTTTCATTTTATCTATCATAAATAGTTTTTTTTTTTAATAATATCTTAATTTATAGTTATATATAATGTCTCTTCTTTTTTTTTTTTTGCAATGGATGACATTTTTAATTGAGCTATAATTCAAAAATTAGAGATTTAAATGTGTGATGCTCTTGTTTAAAAAAAAATGTTTTGACCCATGGACTAGCACCTTAATGATACATCTATATATTTTATGCATAATGTCAATTGAATGAATTTCTAAGTAATTAACTTATATCTTTATTTTCTGAGAGCTAAACAGATGATTTATTTAAGTTATTGATTCTTTTCTAAGTAATTCAAATGTATATAGCTATTCTACCAGGTATGAGCAGAAATGGAACTGAAGCTCTTGTTGAACTATAGATAAAGCATCAATCCATCTCCCACAACAATGAGAAATCTAAAACAATACATATTAGATCATGATAGTGTAACGCCCAATAATTTTAGTATTTTTATTATTATTTTTTTTATTAATTTTAATTTTTTTTATTTTATTTATTTAGTTTAATAATAATATAAAATAATAATAATTGTAAAATTGGGTAAAAATATTATTTGGATTTAATTGAAATTGATTTTGGGAAAAAGTGGTGAAAATTAGGATTCTGGGGGTATTTAAAAAAAATCAAAAACCGGGGGTCAAAACGCAATTTAAAAAAATTGCGCCACGTCAGCAGCCATGTCAGCGGCCCAGTCAGCAGCCCTGGCCAACCAGGACCTGCCATGTGGCGAGACCACGTCGACCCGGGAACGGGCCACGTGGGCGATCCGCGTGCGCGCGATCGGACAACCCAGATGCGTCCCCGCGTGCACGGACGACCCAGATCAAGCGTGCGCACGGACGGCCCAGATACACGCGCACGGACGGCCCAAATTCAATCAAGAACGGACGGTCCAGATTTAATCAAAATGGACGGCTGTGATCAAAAGGCAAAAGGGTATAAATAAAACCCCCACACCTGACCACAAAAACCCTAGCCGCCTGCCCTCGCTGGAGAAGACGAATCAGACGCCGGAGGAGCCGGCCGCCGCCACCCGCCGCCGCACCGGAGAGTTTTCCGACCGCCGATCGAGGTAAATTTCATACTCCCGGCTCGTTTTTCCACGCTGAGTTCCCCTGTGGCCAAATCGGAGCCAAAATCCCGATCAAACAGCCGGAAAACACGGCCGAAACCCAGCGGCGCCGCCGCTTCCCTCCTCAGTTTTTGCCTCCGATGAGGCCCTTCCCGGCCTCCGTTTGATACAATTTTTATATGACCGTGATCATCATTCTTTTCTCTACAGGTTGATCGGAGCCGAATCACCAAAACACGAACCTCGCCGGAGAGCCACCGCACCCGAGAGCACCGTCGCCGGTAAGCTTTAGTTTTTCGTAATTTTTTGGCCCCCCGAGGGCCCTAGGGTTGTTTTATCACAGAGACCAATGCAAGTGTGACCGAATTCGGCCGGAAACGACCGAAAACGGCCAACCCGAGGCGAATCGCCGCTGCAAACGGCGGCGCTGTCGCCGGAACACGGCGGAGCCGCCGTGCCGGAATTGCGATATTGGCCGAAAGGGGTCCTGGGTCTAATCTGGGATTTTTTGGGATACGTGCAGGTACCAGTAGTGCGTTTCAGTTTCCCGGAAAAAATTCAGGAAAAATTAGGGACAGCCTGTAGGCGCATTGTAGAGCCGTATTCGGATCCCGAAACAAGTAAGGATTCCTCACCCTATTTCTTATCACGGTATTAAAGTGCAATAAATGATAAAATGGTATTTCATGAATCAATAGCTGTGTGAAATTATTTAAGGTTGCTAATGGAGCCCGAGTCTAGTGTATTTGTCGGTCAGTTGTTTTTTGTTCTATTTTACAGTTTTAAATGCAGTATGATGTCTGATGTTTTTATTTTATAGTTTCGTGTGCATGTATCACTGTTTTATTGATTATGGGTTGAATGACTGAGAACCCGATGTTGTATGTTGTCTGGTTTGGCATGAATTACTGGTTGCTTGTTTGTGTGTGATTTGATGATACTGACTGAGGAAAAGGGGAATGAAAGGTTATGTAAATTGATAATTGTATAATGTGGTCAGCCTGACTAGATATCCTGGGAGATGGTGGACGGACCGAGTCCGTAGGGAACCCTACCGGGATTGTGGTCTCTCATACCGGACGGGATATGGAGACCTTATGTGTTTTGGCGCCCATATCGGACGGGGTATGAGGACGGCCCGTTTCACCCTCATACCGGACGGGGTATTGAGGTTTATAGTTTTGGCGCCCATACCGGACGGGGTATGGGGACGGCCCTGGAATCTGATTACAAGTGTTAAAGGTTCACGGGTAGCAGGACCCCTATGGATCCCCATGGATACTAGTAGGCTGATAAATAAAGAAAAATATGTTGTGTAATGATTGATATGCAAAATGAGTGATAAGTATTATGTTATACAGTTCCTATGATTTCGTGATGATGATAATGTTATTGCTTTCATATATTGTTTTATGAATTTCACCGAGATAAGTGGATAGTAAATGATTTTATTATTGATAAAAGAATTTGTTGTAAACTATGCTCCGTTGGTCTTTTTGTGTTTTCTACCCACTTTTACCTCCGTGACAGTGAGATAGTGTGATGTCCTTACTGAGCTGATGTAGCTCATTCCTTATTTAATCATTTCAGATCAGGAAGACATTGTTCCCGAGCCCGTTCTGCAGGAAGACGGCGAAGGGGACGCCTGAAGACTACATAGTCATATTTATAGCTTTTATTTTCAAGTTTCTCTTTTAGTTAGTTTGTTCTTTTATACTTTGAGCACATTTTTGGTTTTAGTGTAAGGGATGTTTAATTAAAATTTTTATTACGGTTCCGCATTTGACCTTTTTAATACACATATTTCATTTTAAAATTCCGGGACCGTTACAGATAGACTATACAAAAATTCAGTTGAAATATATTGCTTTGTAAATCACAAGTAATTTCTCCAAAGGTGATGTGAAGAAAAACGAATTACAGTCATTCTACTTCTGGAGATGAAAAAAAAGAAGTGTTTCTATTTGCTAATGGAACCCATCTAACTTGTTACAGTAATACTAGAAAAGGAAGATATGAGCCGACTGTCAATACCTTTATTTTTTATCTGGCGGCCACCTATTGTACTCCATAGGTAGAAAGCCTGGAGAGGAGGAATATACAAGCTGATGAAACTACTACCGCTCCAGCAAAACATGCAAGATCTAGACTAGTCACCAAAGGCACACTCTTGAATTTTTCCAGCACTCCAGCTTGAAGTATCATCATCACTGTATGCCCAATTTTTAACTTGGCTTGTGAAACCGATTCCATTTCAACCCACTTTGGAAGAGTCTGCAGCCCATATGAAATATAAATGCAGTGTTTATGACATATATGATTTACTTGAATGGATATCACCCATACCCCAACAAAATTAGACGTGACAGATTCAACTGGATAGCATTTGAGATGATTATGTAGTTTATGATTTCTAAATACAAGAGATACAGAGGAGGTGGGAAAAACAAGTATATATAAACCTTGAGACTGAAGAGTCCGAACAAGTTTGAATGTGGAAGCCATGGAAGTTTCTGTTTCATGTTTCTGGATCCCACAAACATGACATGGATACCCACCCCAAATATGAGCATGGCTGTTCCTACCAAGAACATGTCTGCACATTAATTCCAAAAAATAACGTGAGAAAATGTAGAGATATGCTTGTATAGACAGGCCCGGACGGAAGAAAGAGAGACAGAAAGATACCCATGGCTTCTATGAGTAAGCGCATTATTTCCCCTTCATCCCACCTTTGTGATAAAATTTGGAAATACTTAAAATATGCCTCTAAAACAAGAAAGCAACCCTGTAAAATCATATAAGATATTATGACTCATTGTGAGATATATATATATATATATATATGAAACATATAAAATGAAGTATACTAAGGCTATATTTATAAACAAATTCAAAGTTTATATAAAATTATAAATGAACCTTTAAATAATTTTGATGTCTGCAAAAGCAAACCAATGTTAAGGAAAAAGAATACATATATACCTCCAGGAAGCACAAAATTGATCCGAGTAAGGATCCGGCAACAGCAAATAACGTAAAGAATCGGCAATCAATTACAACCTGCGGTAATAAATTTAAATTCAAATCACTTTTAACACATTAAGAAATAAACAAAAGAAGAAGGTAAAAACTAGAAATACCCTTTCAATGAAGCTTTGAATCTGCAATTTCACGGGTCTCCACTTCGTAGCACCATTTAATACCTTAACTGCTGTAATAATAATAAGATTTGGGAGCAGAGAGACAACATCTATTAATTCAACCCGTGCCTCTGATACCTTCGTTAGCACCGTCGATTTCCTTTCATGATCTCCAAAAACCTTTTTCTCTCCCTTTGACCCTGCATTGCTCAGGCACCTTACAGTTCGAACATGAGGAGAAGAAGAAGAAGAAGAAGAAGAAGAAGAAGAAGAAGAGAAAGAAGAAGGAAGACCGTGATTCCAAGGCGTAGAAGCACGCAACAACCTTGCAGTCGCCATTTCTCTGTTTGTTCATACCCAAGTGGCATATCGATTTGGTTTATATACAAATGTGCAGTGAGGAAACTGGAAAAAAGAAGATTCGCGGCATATTAGGTGGGGTTTTTCTTTTTCACTTTTTCTTGGAGAGGTTAGCCTTGATTTGTCCTTTCTCATCAGTCAAAACGAAAAACAATTTGATTCTCACGTGGCTAATTGCACTTCCCACAGCGCGTGGGTCCGTCTTCAATTTCAGCCGTAAGGAGTTGTAAGAAATTTTGGCCAGTAAAGATTTCTGCACCGCAGGTTGGACAGAGTTCAAAACATATTTCATCACCAAAAATACTAAATTTAGAGTTTAAGGTTTAAATATTTTATTGAACTGATAAAGTACTAATTTATAATATTTAATTTAATAAAATTAAAATTTTAAATTATTAATATGTTGTTAAAATTGTTTTGATATTAAATTTTAACGATTTTATTATATTTTTAAATTTAAAAATATTAAAGAATAATTAAATTTTTTCAATTTCGAATTTTTAATCTGATTTAAACTTTTTTTTCATTAAAAAAAATAAATATTTGATCAAATGATTTAAGGAAAAAGAAAAATCAAAGAGTGGCTTCTCTAATAATCGCTTTCCTAATGGCGGCTTATAGTCGTAAAATTACCCAAATACCCCTCCAGCAAACTCGCGGGTTGCTCCGATTTGTATCTGGACTCTGGAGGGTCCGTTACCTCTTTGGTTTTTCCGCCTCTCCTCCATTTTCTTTCTGCTTGATCCTTTTCCCCAGTTCTACTTCCTAGGCATTAAAGTTTTACCATGACTGAATTCCCCTTGCAAATTCATACATGAATCTTGCAATATTTCTGACGTTTGCCTCAATCACAACATCCCCATTTCCCAACCTTCAGATCAAACCCTGCCCATCTTACTCTTTCTTCTCCAAAGCAAAGACACGCTCGATTTGCAGGACGTTAATACATTGCTCGCTAACCCATGAAGGGTTCAAACCGTAAGTTGCTCTTTAGCTCTTTCCTTCTCTATCTCTGCGTATTTCTTTTCAGGCATTTTCACATATATGTAAGCTGCACCAAACAAAACTCACTGGCTTGTACGAAATTGTGCAGATGTGAGTGTTTTGATTTGTATAACGAGGTGGTTTCTTATAGAGAAGCATGGTCCTGGCAAAATAGCATTGTTAAACAGAAAAAGGCGTTGATTGATAGAAATGAAGATTGCGCAGATACGCTGATTATATTACAACACGGTCCTGTGTTTACAATGGGTGCCGGTAGTTCAGAAAAGTACCTCAAATTTGACATAAACAACGCTCCTTACGATGTTTATCGAACTGAACGAGGTGGGGAGGTCACATATCATGGACCTGGCCAGGTGCTTCCTCTAAATTATTCGCACTGTTAGAGTTTCATATTCTCCTTGGTTCTTTATAAATTATTTGTACGATTGATTCTAGTACTTGATAGACGAGCATTTTCTATTTATTTTGAGTTATGATCACAAGTCGGAACTTCTTATTGACAATTATGTTTAAAAAAGAAAAATGATTACAAGTCAGATTGTATTGTTGTCGTTGGAAATTATTTTTCCTTCCACGGCTATGAATCAAGCTTTCAAGTTTTGATGTTCTGGCTTTTCTGTCTTAAGCATGTTACCTGATTGATTGCCTACTTACCCCCGTTGCAGTTTATGTAGCTAACTTCTATTATCATGCATATGTGTTGCAATGTAGCTAGTTATGTATCCTATTATCAATCTCCGGAATCACAAGAAGGATCTTCACTGGTACCTCAGGGCACTTGAGGAGGTCGTTATTCGTGTTCTCTCAGCCACATTTTCTATAGAGGCGTCTCGGCAAGAAGGTCTAACTGGAGTTTGGGTTGGTATGATTACTTTTCTTTCTTCTGCACTATATGTACTTGCTCTTTACTTCCTCCGCAACTCCACACAGCTATAGGCAGTGTGGATGAAGGTCACATGAGATAGGCTTTTGGAACTTTGCAGCCTTGATGCTGTTGAGATCAGTCTTATGAGCATAACTATAATCTTTGGATCTCATATCAAAATTTGACATTTTCTTTTGTGGAATTCCATGCAGGAGATCAAAAATTGGCAGCAATTGGGATACGAGTATCTCATTGGATAACATACCATGGTTTAGCACTGAATGTCACCACAGATTTAACCCCTTTCCACTGGATAGTCCCGTGTGGGATACAGAACCGCCAAGTTGGAAGCATAAAGGGATTGCTCGGTAAATTGCAGCCATCCAATGGGCGCAGAGAACATAGCATATACAATACTGACAATTTATCTCAAAACAAGAATGTTGATGATAGCAAGTTGATTGATATTGCTCATGATTCTTTAATGAAGCAATTTTCTGAAGTTTTTCAAGTTGAAATTCACAAGAAAACCATATCCTATCTTGATCTTCTCGGAGAGAAAACTATCCAGCATCATCAGATTGAGCACGACATCATTCAATGACTGAGTTGGAATTCTAAAGTGTTTATGAGGTACTACTGATTGCTTCTGCAGACATATCCTTGATTAGTTACTGCATTCGAGAGTTCTCAAATATGTAGACATTATACATGTACTTACTCTGTACTGAAGGTCCTTTATTTAACATAATTTTTGACCTACGCGAGCAGAGGTGAATCTGTTGATGGTCTTAGTTGAAGGTATGACTACAATCCCGAGTAGAAAAATCCCAGATGTGCTTATTTAGATGGATTTCATGTCTTACTTTTCTTTTTTTTTTCTCTCCCCAGTGTGACAAGTCTTAAATCTTCTTCTACATTTCATTGGGTAAAAGAATCTCCTGACTTAGTGGTCTCAGGAACTTAGGTTCCCAAACTTTTGAAAATAGCAGTTGGATTTGTAGGAATCTTGTAGATTTGTACCTTCGAAAAATAAATTAACTGCAAAACTAAAAACTCTATTGTAAACAAAATGAAACAATAAGAATTATATTGACAGGCATGTCATTGGTTATGATCAATGGAGGCTATGAATTGTGAGATGTTGTGATTATGGAGCTTAGGTTTAGAGTTAGTAGACAGATTCAAATTTTGGTGAATTCTATGAAGCAACTCCACGAGTATAATCTTCAACAAAAACTCCACGAGTATTTGCATATTTCCTTGTCTTAAGACTTTTGAGAAGCTTCTTCTGTGTTTTGAGAAGTGGGAGATGAACATTCCTCCCATTACATGTTACCCTGGAGGGTGAGGAAAGTTCTCAAATTACCTTAAAGAGTTTTGCAACCAGCACTACTGTGAAGGGCGGCCTATGTGAATCAAAGGAGAGAAAATCGGGAGAGAAGCAAGGCCTACAAGAATCTGGGATTAAGCAAAAGGCATAGGCTTCATTAGATTGACAAAGAAGCCTCATTAAACTGACAGAGAAGCCATAGAGAAGCTGTAGAGAAAGATTAACCATCACTTATGGACCATTGGGACTGTATAAAGAATAATCAGTAACCTACAGATAACAAGAGGTTGGAAATTTTACACCAACATTGAAAATGGGAGATTTATTGGAAAAGATGACAAGAGGTGTTTCACCATTTACAGAAGACAACTGTTCCTGTAGAAATTTTTTGTGAAAGCTTACTTGTATGTGATTAACACAAAGTTCTCAAGAACCAGTAACCTTGTTTGTCATACTTAGAGATGAGTGCTTTATTCTATGAGTTTCCTCGAAGATACGCAATGTTATCAAATACACACAATGAAGTCTAATTATTTAAAAGATGCTAAATACACAAAAGGGCCTCGTCTAAAGTATTAAGTATCACCAATACCATTTTATAACCTGTATAGCAACGACTACAACTTAACAAAACCAACCAAATGGTGGATTGTTAGTTCATAGGATTTTTTCATTGGCATTTATCATCCCAAAGAAGAAGCTAGTAGCATTATTTTTAATGAAAAAAAGCTAGTAGAATTTGAATGGCAACTACTTTAACCCGAGACAAATAATTCCTTCATCAATAACTCCCACCGATCAAAATTGTCCAATACATGCCAAGCTCTGGCAGGAAAACGCTCCTTACACTACCCTCTTGTTTTAACTTGCAGCAAGCCCACACGATCTCGTAGAAGCTAAAATATCACATAATACCTAAACTTAATGGTTTAGAGATTCTTTGTGGACGAAAGAGCCATCGGGAAAAAATTATAGACAGCACCACATATAAAAATCAATAGTTCTCAGCAACAGGTCTTGAAGGAAAGAGCCTCATAAGAAATGTCATCAATGACCAGAGGCAAACTACAGAGAGGACTTGGAAGGTCACGACCATAGCAACAAGCGCACTACCTCTCTCTGCTACTTCTGGAGATATCAGAGAATCTTTCATCAAAAACATCAACCTCTGCATAAACTGTGCAGCTCTTGTCAATTGATATAGTCTATATACCTGTCAAATAGAAAGAAAGCCGTAAAACATTTGTTTCCACAAACACGAATCTCAACTGAAACTGGTTTTCGTTTCCAAAAATAATGAATCTAAGCTGAACATCAACTACCTCAAAAATAATAGGAACTATAGGCCAACAAGACGATCCGCGCTTGTTGAGGTGAGCCTCAAATGCAAGTTGAGCTGCACAGCCAACTAGAAAAGGAGCCACTGCAACCAACGCTTGCAAGCCAAGCACCGGCCAAGTCACATAGACAGCAAACAGAGGAGCAATGACCTTGAAACCCGTGGTGAAGAAAGAAGATGTCAAGTACCCTCTGAGCCCTGTTATGAGGCCCCATCTCTTTGGACTGAATTGTAAATATGGCCTCTGAACACTGTCAGTAACAGAAAGAAATGCCCCTAGGCCAATATAAAACATTGCCTCAAAGCACAATGAAGCCACCATTTCTGCATGACATGAGCCAATGAAAATTATCATCTGAACCTTTTAATTAACAGATCCACATGCATGACATCAATAACAAAGTCTTCAGACAAGATAAATATAAAAGAATGTCTCGAATAACTACCTAAACATAAACAAACAAGTTCATTGAGAAAGAAAGGTAGATTATCTATAAATTTTATGCTCGGTTCCAGCAGTTAATCTAAACTGAAATGTATCTATACAGTTCACAAGACTATGTTTGTTTTCCCCAGACACTTGACAGGTTCCAGTACCGTAAAAAGATAACTGATGATAGTTGCCAGTGGTTAAACAATCATCAAGAACCCTAATGAAGAGTTTAGTATTTCACTTAGTATCTAGAACTCTCACAGTCAATGATGGATGATTGGAAGGGAACTGAACAAAGGGACTGTCAAAAAATCCCCAAAACAACCAACAAATGTACGAAAATATTTTAGTTCTACCATATTTCCCATATGAGCATTCATGATGACAAATCCATTAACTTACCAGTTCATCCTTGTTACATTGCTAACCAGATGTTTATCTTATGACCTACGCATCTTAAATACTTATTTCGAACCTTACCTTTATTCCACTGTCATGTTTCCACCACCAACTTGTGCTATTTTTTTACTCAAAGGCCAGTTATAAAAGCTGATTTGTGCTTTATCAGATGGGAAAAAAATTGGAACGGGTAAAAAAAAAAGAACCTATTATTTCAGCACTCATCATAAACAAACTTTTAATTATTACAAGCAATAGCCTATGAGCGACAATGGATGAAAAGAACCAAAAAGGTGGTTAGACAAACTGGAAATTTGCAAGGAAAAAGAATAATAAACCAAGTTATCCGACATCATTTCATCAAATCTGAATCCGAAAGCATAACTCCAAAGCTAGACAACGGAAAATCTAATACGCAGCAGGTCAATCAAGCAGAAAATACCTACAAGAGTCTCTTCCTTGAGCCAAGCTTCAATTGCACTTCCAAGAAAGAACTGTGGAAAAACCAAAGAAGATATCAAAGCAACAGGTGCCAAAACCCATAACAATGAACCCTTATCTTCCTGAAATGGAGCTGAAACCAACTTCCCTTCTTCCACCAGTTGATGAGTCAACCCATAAAACGAAACAGAACCGGATTTCCCGCGAAATGGCTCTACCCCATTAAACCTACAAAGATATGTAACGGGATTTTCTCTCTCTGAAAGCTCCAAGCTGGTCTCTGAGTTAGAATTCGATACACATGCTATAGCTCCTCGGTTTAAGCTATGCAATAATGACCCCTTTGCTTTTCTCTTCAAACCAGGAGAAATCAAACACACTGAATAAACGATGTGCAAAAGTTAAGAAACCATTCATTTTCTCAGCTAAAGATTGCACACTAAACGTTGGAAACTCCCAAAAATCAAAAAGGGAACCAAGAGGGAAAAAGAACCTACACTTTGACGCACTTCTATGTCCATATGCTTCGTCTCTAAAGACGTAGTGCGCGGAAACCTGAAATTTTAAAATTACAAAGACAAAGGTGAGAAATGATTGAGATTCAAAGAATCAAAATATACATGAACTGATTGAGACCTGAAGTAAGTGACAGACCAAATTGCGATTAGATAACCTAAACTTTGGAGCAGGGAGCCCCAGACAAACGGGTAGCGTTCCCATTTGGGGTTTAGGGTTTTAGAACCCACCTCGCTTCAAATTTAACCCGGAAATCTGATACAACCATACAAAGAGGAAAATAAAATTTATTTTCTGATAAACTGTTTTCAAATATGAAAAACATGTTTATATTATTTACCTTAAAAAATAAAAGATATATATATATTTACTTTAATTTTGAAAATTGGTATATTATATATAATGAAAACTGAGTAAAACTTAAAATCATTAATACAAAATAGAGAAAGCTGTCCAAAAAGTTTGTTCAATCTTTCCTCTACAGTTATCCCTCCCTCGTTTTCATAAATCCCCAAGTTTGGCAATCTGCAGGCCAACAAGCCACCTCATGTGTTTGCTTGTTCATTTCTCTGGGGATTCATGTCCAGCAAATCTTCTTTCCTTTGGTAATCGCATGCATACCTCATATCATGGTTTGATACACTAGGACATTAAATTGTTGTGGTTGCTTATAGCTTCCATCGCATTTTGGAATCACCACAAATTGAAATCTCTCATAGTTCGTCTCCCCGTATACCATTTAACTAGCTACGATTTTAGGGTTTTCATTTCTGTAACTAAAGGATTAATTGAAGGTGTTTGCTTGATTTGCACATTTTATGAAAGGTTTTCATGATTAAATCACATAACCACTTTAAAAAATTTATCATGTCCGATCGCATCATAAGTAATGTACTCATTTTTTTTTTCCTTTAAAATAAGATAATTATTTGTGATCATTTCATCTGATTAAAGAAATAATTCTTTTTCGTAATAATTATGGGAGTTTGTCTGGTAGGAATTACTTATTATTATGGCTCATGAGATTACAAAAATAACAGAAGTTAATCACTTTTTTATATTGAAATATTATCCAGTGTTCATCTTGATTAGCCTTTATTAGCATAATCCTTAAATATAATGTTTTAATTAAATCTATTTTTATTTTAACTTATATAGAGTCCACTCACTAATTAAGTTCTATTGTGATGTTGACTCCTAAAACTTCTCTAATTCTTTTAACAATTTGTTTTGTATTCTATTGATTGAATATATTAAAGGGCAATCCATGAATTCTTATCTAAAGTGCGCCAAAAGTAAGATCAATCTCTTAATTAGGATAATATCTTTGTATAGGTTGTTAAAAAATGAATAGAAAAGTATTTTGAGATAAAATTACAACTTCACTTGTAGGAATTGATCTTCATACTGGTGACCATCTATTCAATAATTTTTATTGATATAAGTTTAGGCGATAAAAGTTTACAAGCCACCCTCTAATTCTACTCGTTTTTTCGATGATCTTTAGTGAGAGTAATAACTATGTCCTCACAAGTTATCTTATTAAGTTGTCATTTTCTTTATTTCGAATGTAACTTATACATTAGACAAAGATATGATTGATGATAGATACATTTCTTTCTTATCAACTTTATACTGCTTCTAATTCGTTGAGTCTTTTTTAAGGTTGATAAATAAGTATAATTTTGGCCGGGTTTTTGCAAGAGCTTGTGGTTGTACTCTCGGAGACTAGTTAGTTTAATATTGTGCTTGCTTTGTTGTATAGTAAGGTTTTATATGAGAGTGCTGAACTCCAAAGGAGAACAAGGTTACCACGATTCTGAATTTTTGGTTTATGATTGTAACGTATAGCTAGTAATGTAATTAAGGAACTTTTCACGTGTGTGTGTGTGTATACATATACATATTGTTTCTTTGTTATTGTTGTTTAAGAATAAAAAGGAACTATTGATGCCACCAGGTTTTAATGTCAATCAATTTCTTGAACCGACCACAGGTGAAAAATTATTCAAAAAACAAACAATTCACACGTCTAAAAATGATACCCACGTTTCCCAGAACCAAAAAAAAAAAAAAAAAAAAAAAGCAAGACCATTTTTTGTTTACTTTTCTTCTCCTGCAAATTCTACTTTGACTTCAAGGTCAACATTTTTGACTAAATTTTTTTTAAGTGATTTGCGCCGGGGGGGTGGGGGGGGGGCATAAATGTGCAAAAATGTTATACTGTTGTAACTTCGTCAGTTTTGCGGCTGTATAAAACTTAATAATATTTGACTGTTAAAGATCTTATCGTAAATTTAGAATTTGTATTAAAAAAATTATAATTTGTTAAACATTAACAGTAATCTGTCAGCACGTACCAAGTAAGAAAGTAAAATTATCTTATGGTAAAAATTAAATCAAAATTAATGAAAGAATACATATATTATATTACAAATTTTATTACCTAACTACAGAAAATAAAAACTGCGGAATTAATTAGTATTAATTTTATTAGTAAAGTAGATGTAAATTTTTTATAAATTAAAATTAAATAATTTACACGTGCACGAAAAAAAACAATTATAACAACAACATTAATTTATATATATATATATATATATATAAACAATGGGAAAAAGAAAACAAGACCGAATTCTACAAATTCACGTTTTCTTTACTAGCGGCTACCGTCCATAAGTTTGCGCTGACCAGGTTTAGCACTATAAAGTCAGACCCACTTGCCTTGAAATGCTTCAGAACAAGGGCGATACGCAGTCTAAATCCCCCATTAATTGTTCGAATCAGACCCCAAAAGATGGCTTC